AGAGATGCAGAAATGGCATATTCAACTTGCAAAACAAGTACATTTTCATGACATTAAAACCTTAGCTGGAATAGCATCAAAAAGCTAAAGTGTATCTGAGTGCTAATAAGATACAGAAAGTTACAAAGCACCTTGAGCAAGAACTGGCCTTAGGCAAGTACAATAGGACACTTACAGAAATGTATCGGGGCTTCTGGAAGCCACAGAGTAAATACTATCCCCAAGAGCATCCCTGATTCACATTGGTTTATAATTTTAAATTGCCATCTGACTCCTGTATTGTCTACATCTACTTTTCAGGTTTCTTTCTTAGATCAGTGATTTGCTTTATAGACATGCTCTATGTGCGCACACACACACACACACACACCCCAGCCCCCTCCCCATTACATGTCACTCTACAAACCTCCTCTTCTTATGCTTTGAAAAGAAACACTAATTTCTGATATGGACGAGGTAAGGAAAAGAATAAGAATGAGTGACTACGAATACACTTTTCTAAGTCTGCTTTGAATATATTTCTAGTTAAAGACTAACTAACTAACTTGGGGGTTACTCTTTTTCACTGTCTTAACTTCTATCCTAACTTCTATTGAGAACGAATAATCAGGACTTAGCTAACAATTAAAAATTGGTATTTATTATTTGAGACTGGATCTTACTATGTAGCCTGGGCTGGCCTTGAACTCATTCACAATCTTCATGCATCAGCCTCCTCCCAAGTACTGGTGTTAGTATATACTACAGCACCTAGATAATTATGTAGGGGTTTTTGTTTGTTTTTTTTTTGTGTGTGTGTGTTTGTTTTTTTTTGTGTGTGTGTGTGTGTCTTTTTGAAGCAGGGTCTCCCTGTAGCCCCAGCTGTCCTGGAACTCACTATGTAGACCAAGCTGTCCTTGAACTCACAAAGAGCATCCCTTTTATTTGAAACAAACATGCTACAGAGTATAACATGTAACAGACTTTGCAGGAAGCTCCATACTTGGTACTCACGGGTTTTGCCCCTCCTCTACTATGAGCACAGAAGCATGCCTAGGATGCACTAAGGCATATCAAATTGCTCTTGGGCTAGCCCAACCCGGAAACAAAGCAGAGAGCCAATATGAGAGAAAGATTAAAGATGTTGAAAGATCGGCCACAAGTTTCTTAAATAAATAGGGACCCAGGCTATCAGATCTTTTGTTCCAAATTGCATTGCCTTTCATGAGAAAAGTGGCTTTTCTTGTTTGTTCTGTTGTGTTTGCAGATCAGAGAACACATGAGTAAAATACCTAATACTAACTAAAAATAAGGTAGGTAGCTCACAGGAGTTACTCTCGTTAATTAGCTGAAAATGCAAATATTATTTTCTAGTAACCTCTAAGAGACAGATTATATCAGTGCAAGACTAACATAAGGATCTTTCTTTGCATTCACAGCCCATCACAGAAAGATATGGGGGTAAAGAATTCCCTCGGAACATTTTTTATTACTTGGTTTCAAACGATGTGGCCAAAAGCTACATGAATGTTGTTAACCTGAACACTGAAAACATCTGATTCTTTTAGTGAACAAATGATGCATCTCTTCTATTTTCATCCTAGAACAACTAGCAGAGGATTAAACAACTGGCCCAAACTGATAACCCCTGTTTAAATAGAGTATTCCAGCGGGGCCTCCTCTTTCAAAGGAGACAACGCACTCAACAGCATACTATATACATTAGCAATCTAAGAGACACTGAAAGTAGAGGGGAAGGAAAAACAATTCAGAGGAACGTTCCTAAATAACTAAAAGCCATCAAATGAACATGTGACTATCTTACCAACTACATATGGATGTATTTCATTCTAGATAAGCCTAAAGAAGGCTGTTCCAGGTAAATTCTTACTGCCAAATTGCAAAGCCTGTTAAATATCTTGAGAGAATTAAACAGCGGTAGCTAGGAATTTTTGAGTAAACACGGACTGATTAAATAATTTTAAAAACCTAATTGTTGTTACATAACCTCAAGCTTCAAATTGGAGGGGACGTGTTCTACAGTGACACCTCCTGGTCAATGGTAATATAGGGGCAATTGCAAATTAACAGGCAGAGGATAGCTGATTAAGACAGCGGGAGGAAGAGACAATACGCTGCACACACCTTTGTGCTACAGCATAAGCCCAAGAAAACCATGACCCCTCTTAATCAAAAACTGCTCGAATCAAGGGATTTGAAAGAGACTTCTCCTGGCCCTAACTGGTCATATAAGTCACATTTTATATACAAATTAAAGGTAAGCTATCCAATTTGCTCATGAACCTTCTGCATTCTAAATAGTAAAATTGAGAAGGAGACAATTAAGCTCTTATCATTTCTCAATTGAGTTTAAGAAACTGAAAGGCAATTGTCTACTTTAGAAATATTTTCCCTAAAAGGTATGCTTCAAAGGACTGGGAGCTACCACCCCCACACCAACACCATACTTTTATATAAAAATATATGTGACCAATGTCAACACTGACATCAACCTCTCAATGCAAAAATCTCAAAAACCATAGTGCATGTGCCCATGTACTCTTCTCAAACTAAGATTTACAAATGTGATGTTTCAAATACATTTAAGTCGAAGGACCTTCAATTAATGATCCAAGAACAAAAGCATACATTTCTGCAGTAAGTGTAATTAGTATGCCATGGAAAAAGCCAGAAGAAAACTTGATAAACTAGTTCAACTCCCATTCCCCATGAGACGCCACATAGGTGCACGCCTTTAATCCCAGCACTTGGGAGGCAGAGGCAGGTGGATCTTTATGAGTTCGAGGCCAGCCTGGTCTATATAGTGAGTTCCAGGACAGCTGGGGCTACAAGGAGACCCTGTCTCTCAAAAAGACAAAAAAAAAAAAAAAAAAAAAGAAAAGAAGTTTCAAGCTGAGTGGTGTCATGAATAGAGCAACAGAAAACCTGGCTCCTAGCTTGGGTTCTTCCCTACTAACTGAGTTTCCAGGGAGTGAACAATTTTCAATGACAGACAACCTTTAAGCATTCATTTTCTCATCTACATATCTAGAAAGTACTAAATGGGTCTCATAACACTGTCACTGACAGAAATTCTTCCCCACAGGATAGGTCTACACATCAATGTCCATACCTCAGGTGACCAGATAAACATAGCACTGAAAGGAAAGTTAAGGTTATGTTTCACTACAGCGTGCTATAAGAAAGCAAGGAACTGAACCGTACTTTCTCACTGCAGTGTAACTGTTTAGCACAATGGAAAGAATCTTGCTTTCCATCTCTGGTGCCTTCTCCTTACCCACAGTAAGAACAATATTTACTTTAAATAACGGCTTGGGAAGAATGGTCCACGCTGCATGATATGGGGAACTTCAATGGCAACTCTTGAATTTGGAGGCTTCTGGAACACAAGTATTTCTTTTACAAATTTCCTTTTATGTATTATGCTTTGTAACAGTTCAATCATATAAATCAACATATAAAATTAGATCACAGTTTACTCCAAAATGCCTGGCTCTAACAAAACAAGGTAATATACATCCTGACATTCCTTATCAGTTGACTGTACAATGGTTTATTTACTGCATAGGGGCAGAAAAATGAAACACATTTCTCAGTGCTGATGCTTACCAATTACAGGCTTCATAAAGTAACTTCCTCAGATGCAATCACACTCAAGGGTGTGAAGGATAAAGTTAAAGAAACAGGGCTTAAGGCTATAGCTCAGTGGTAGAGCACTTCCCCAGTGCCGTCTCCAAGGCAGCAGCAAAGAAAGACACATTTCACATTTCATCTATAGAAAACTTCATCATGATAAATCTTGTTCATTAGCTTTTTCTTTGACGTCTAAGCCTGCAATAGGCTCGTATTCCTTCAGAATGTTCCAACCTGAGGCCCTAATCACCACAGGCAGTTAGCCTTCAGGATGGTTTGCTGACATTCAAGGGCAGGTGAATGAACCAGAAGACATTTCTTTTACCTATGTCAACGGTGAACTACACTAGCCTTGAACTTCAAACTGTGTACACAGAGCCCTTTCCATTTAATAATACAAATACTGGTCCCCAGAATGCCAATGTGTGCAATGGATTTAACTGTACTACTTTCCCCATTTACACTCATTCATTCATTCCCTAATCAAATATTAATTGAGCATCTATTACGGAACAGACAATTCTAGGAGTTGAGAATAAGGAATAAACACGGGGGAAGTGAAACAAAGACAATATACATACAGATAAGACAACCCATTTTCCTGATATACATTAATAGACTGCCTGTGGATCTCAGTATAGAATCTAAATCATTTCAAGTGAAATTTACAGCTCACATTCATACACGTGTGTAACCCTGCTTCAATATTCTAAATGAGTCAAAAGAAACCGAGAACCACTGAAATATGACCCCGAAACAGATTTAAAACATCTGTTCTCTCTTGGCCGGCTAAGCATAAGAAAGGTAAATACCCAATCGGTTTTTATTTTTTTAAGAAAAGAAAGGAGGGGAGTTACACACAGAGAGCTCGCACAGTACTTTATGGCGTTTCTGGATATGTTAAAAGGGAACCGCAAAGCATATTAAGAAACTACACAAAACTCTTTTAAAAATAAATTGCAAGAACGTTCAAATCAGTCCCTATTTCATCCCCTGAATGTGCTGGTGAGCAGGTAGGAACTTTCTTTCCCTGACTTTGGCCCAGGGTCAAGCTTCCCGAAATCTGCAAGGCAAAGATAAAAGGTTCTCTACGCCCCTCTCGGAAAGGCAAGACAGGACAGCGCCGCGACGTCCGCCCACTGCGCCGAGGAGAGCCGGGGCCACCGCAGGGGTCCCCAGGGCGGGCGGAACCCGGGGCGCCCACCCGCTCCTCACCTCTCCGCCTCCGGGTCCACTGAGCGCGGCCTCCGCCCCGCGCGCCCACGGGAGGCACGCCGAGGATGAACAGGCGCGGCGGGAACGGCGACCCGGACCCGCAGTCTCCCTGCTCCCGCCCGCACCCTGGCCCGGCCTGCGGGGACTCTGACCTCTCCGGGATCCCGGGCTGCTGCTGCCTCCGCTGCTGCCCGAGCTCGGGCTGCCGCTTCCCGAGCCGCCACCACCGCTGCTACTGCTGTGGCCGCCGCCGCCCTTGGCATTCTTGCGCGGGGCCATTGCGCGCTGCTCGGGGGCCGCAGAGGACCGTGGACTTCCCTCCGTGCGCGATGGAGGACCCGGGGCCACGGTTCCTGCACCAGCGCCTCAGCCTCGGCCGCGCTCCCTGCCTCGGAGGACCTGTACCGGCGTGCGACAGGGGAGCCCAGCCCTCGCGTGCGCCCAGCCTGCGACTAGATCCCTGGCGGAGCGCGCGCCGTAAGCCCGGGCCCTGGCCCCGCCCCCGTCAGCCTCGCCCCACCCACGAAGCCTGACGGATGGTGACCACAAACCAATCGCGAGAGTCTCTGGCAGGGGGCGGGCCCTGCGGCACTTCCCCGCCCCGTGCAGGCCTAGGCCAGCTCGGCGCTGCACGGTGGCTGAAGAGCGCCAGCGGCTGGCGTTTCTCCAGCGGGTCCTGGGCCTCTGGAACGTGGCAAACGTGGAAGCAGGCTGGGCTCTCGCGAGCGTTGGCCCACCCGGCTCCATCGGGACAGGGCGGGCACGGGGGCGGCGCCCGGGAGCTGCCCGCCGCGCTTGGGGATTTGGTTCCCATCCCTCTTCTACGCACAGTGTTAGAGTGCAAACCCTCTTCCTGTGAAAGAAAGGGACGTGCCTGTTCTTACCGCTACTAAAACACTTCTGAAAGGTGATGCCTACACCATCGTGGCGTCAAACAGAAATGTACGTCATTCGTGCCATCAGTATTTTTAGACAATCTTAGTTAAGACGTAAAAATGTAAATAATACTTCAAAAAGAAGTCCATTTTCTTACCATGCACTACAACCTCTATCAATAACACCCCTCCACCATATGAAAGCCTAGAGTTCCCTTTCCTAAATGTCCCTGGACATGAATTCCCTCTTGTGCTTGGGCCTTTGTTGCCTCGGGATTGGGAATTCGGTACTAAAAATAAAAATGGCTGGGGGGCTGGAGAGATGACTCAGGTTAAGAGCACTGGCCTTGTAGAAGACCCGGGTTCGAATCCCAGCACCCACATGACAGCTAACAACTGTCCGTAATTCGAGTTCCAGGGGATCCGACAGCCTCTTCTGTCTTCCGCAGGCGTTGCACGACATGGGTACTTACCTACATGCAGACAATACCCGCATACACATAAAATAAAAATAATAAAATATTTTAAAAATAAAAATGGCGATAGTTGGACGAACCAGACAGGGACCTGAAGGCACAGACCATCATCATCTTTGTGGTACCAATTGCCCACATCGTGTATGATGTGTAATAGAAAATCAAGAAATGTTTGATGATTTGCTGTCGATTTCCTGGGATCCTCCCCCAGCTCCAGATTGGATCTGGAAACACCTCCTGGCAGTGGGGGTTTGATACATTGCTGTGGGGCACCCGGCTTTATTCCCCTTCTGCAACCTGCAGCGTCCCTCGCCACCATTGGCAGTTGAATGGACCCCAGCCTCTGCCTCATGGGTCAGCTGTAAATGGCTGGGCACTGCTGGGCCCTGCCTCAGTAAGGCATAGAAGTTCACCAAAGGGCAGTGTTGCAGAACGGGGAGAAGGCCTCCCTATGCAGATGGGGGAGGGAGCCCAGCATTTTTACTGCAGCGGCTCTTTCAACTTTTTATCTCAGGACATCGCTTGCCTCCACACATCGTTTCTTTTTTCTTGTGGGCCCCCCACGGACATCATCTCAGTAGGAAATGATGATGAGGGTGGAGAGGGGCTGAGAGAAAACCTGAGTCACATCACTTAAAGTAAGATACTGAAAGCTAAACTGTAATGAATCTGTAAAACACCTTTTTTGTTTTGTCTCGTTCTCCTGAGACAGAGCCTCACAACGTTGTTGTCCCTGACCTGGACTTCTCTATGTAGACCATCCCAGACTGGTCTTGCTTTCACAGAGATCTACCTGTCCCAGCCTGATGAATGCTGGGATTAAAGATATGGACTATCTCTCCTGGCTTCTTAAAATACTCTTGTTCCCAAAGATAAAACTCTTAAATTCTCATAAAGCACTTTTACAGTGTTAAAACTTAATGTAAAATATCATTGACAGGTGTTTAAAACCTTGTTTCCTAGCTGGTGATGTTTGTTCAGGGTCCTGGGTAATCTTCAGGAGGTGGGACCTGGGTGCCCCAGTAGGTCACTAGGCTAGACCTTTGATGAATATTAGTCACGCACCTGGCTCCTACCTTCTCTCTGCTTCCTCTCCTGCCATGGGTTCCCACTGCTCCCAACAGCGGGAGCCAAGCTGCCATGCCTCTCCCTACCACAGGGAGCTAAAATCTCTCTGGAACTGGGGGCCAAAATAAACCTTTCCTCCTCTAAGTCATAGTAATGCAGAAGTAAGTCACGGTACATACAGAAATGTCACAGAGCTGGTGACTGATAGAGTAGGGATGTGAACCCAGCCTGGCCTTAGGTAGGCTTTCCCAGAAAAGGCTTGGCATTCACTAGAAAATGTCTGACTGGCTCTTCTCTTCTCATAGCAGAGGCTCCCTGGGTGGGCTGTACTCTGCCTGCAAAGAAAGGCTGAATGAAGCATTGAGTGTGGGCACTTCCAAAGGCTTTTTTTTTTTTTTTTCAGGGAAATCAAATTTCTTTAAAAGGTGTCTCCAAAAGCCAGAAAGTAAGACTTTGTTCCTGCTTTTTCAGAAACTAAACCTGGTACTGTCACTGGCAATAGAGACAAAATCACAACTCTATTCCATCCCCCAACCCAACCCCAAACCTGAAGAGTTCTCTTTTCCATTGGGGACCTTCATTCAAGCAAAACAGGGGTTCCTGGCTTCACTACAGTAAAGAACTCCAGAATGGGCCAGTAAGAAACACAGACTGGGAGATTTTACTAAAAGACAGATTTAATACAGATCTTAAGCAGAAAGATGCTCCAAGAGAAAGTGCAAAGGGAGACATGCAGTTAGGTTTCTTTACAATGGGTATATATGGGATCTGGGTAGTTCTCAATTTGTATCTCTAAAAGTTGCTAAGAAACCACACTCCTGCCTGGCCAGGTGGCTCATGCATCTAATCCCAGCACTTGAGAGGCAAAGGCAGGTGGATCTCTGTGAGTTTGAGGCCAGCCTGGTCTACAAGCAAGTTCTAGGCTGCTGGGGCTACAGAAAAACACTCTCAAAAAAAAAAAAAGAAACCATTCCAGTGTTCTTTCCAACATTGCCAAAAGAGTATAATTTGTAACAAGGTTAAAAGTCAAAGAATTTTTCTCAAAATACAAAGTTGTGAGGTGGATTTCTGAGTGACATCCTCAGGTTACCTCAGTTTAGCAAAAAGTCAGCACAGCCTAATTACTGTCCTCAACATCCTTGATTGAGATGTCTCTGGGAATGCATCATCTGGACCTATGTGAGCAAAATTTATTTATCATCTTTGATAAGCTGCCTTTTGGAAAACACTGCCTCAGTGAGCCATTTTGTCCCTATCAGTGGCATCCAAAGTTTGAAGTCTCTGGCCTTTCTCTTCAATAAAAGCTGATTAGGCATCAAGGACAAAGCCTTCTCCCTCTCCTAGCCCTTCTCCCCATGTCACCATAATTCCGTTTCCTATCCTACCTCAGTACCACTGACATGTTTCCTCAAGCATAGGACCAACATAAACTTTGTACATACAGATCAGAAGAAGGGAAAAGTTGCTTTTTCGAACCACAAAGAAATCACTACAAGGACATTTATATGCTGAATGTTGTAAACTTAAATTTATAATAATCCTTACAGCATTAGAAATTGTCAAGTGAATATATATGGTTTAATTTCAGGGACTAAACCCTCTACATAAAGTATCAGAAGGATATATTTTACAACAGTCTCTGCTTCACAATTTATGGGCATCAAAAGCATAAGGTTTGGCTGGGATGAGAATTCTTTTACTTAAGACTGTTCCTCAGTGTAGGATGGGGAAAGTTAGGGAATCAACATGTTAGCCTGTCCTCTGAGATTTCCCCGGAAGCTAAGAATGAATGCTGGGTGAAATAATGTCAAAAGACCCAAAAAGACAGCACTTAAGTGGGACAATGTATTAAACTATTTCATCAATGTAGCTTTGAACCAGGCCAAGTGTGCCTCTCAGACAGTGTCAGCCTTCCATGGCTTCCCTGAAGGTGTGAACTGGAGGACACAGTTTGCCCTGGTTTTGTTTCTTTTCTTCCTGCTGACCTGTCACACCTTGTAGTCAAACCTTTTCAAAATGAGATATGTTTTACTTAAACATTGCTCGAAATTCCATCTTAACCTGTTTCCTAAAAAGTGTCTTTCATTTGTGTGCAATCTTCCTAATGGAAAATATTGTAACAAGCTAGGAATGAATAATTCTTCGTCTTTATTTAATATATCAACTTGGGCCAGAGTTGGGGGCAAGCAAACTTGAACTGCTCGTGATTTCATTGTAATGTTTTTATATTGCAGTAGTGGAGTGTGTTGCAAGGAGAGCTATTTTGGTAAAGACAAGAGCATTTTTAAAGCTTTCTCAGAGTGATCCCCAAACAATTGTTCCCATATGAGTTATAGCTCAGAAAGTTAATAAACTACCATTTGTACAAAACAGCTTGATTTTACATTACTATAGATAAGATAAACCTGGCTGATACATATATCATAAATACATAGGATTAATTTATATGAGCAGAAATAATTTTATACTGAGTCAAAACTAGATTAGGATCAGAAATATTGTGCTATGATCTGGGAAAATAACCTGAAAACATACTTACTATGAAAAACACTATTTGGGTTTTCATTTTAATTCTTTACATTTCCATTAATATTGGTACTTTTAGTGCCAGAGTTACTCCTTGATGATTAGCATTTAGTAATGGCTTGGCCCTAAATTCCTACAACAAAGTGCTGATACATTGACAAAATGTTCTTAAGTTTTGAACTTGATGCCAGAATCCTACACATGAAAAGAAAGTCAAAAGTTGGAAAATAACAATTAATTACAACCATAGTAATTCTGAGCTATATAAAAAAGAAACCTCTGTGTTACTTAAGAGTAGAAAAAAGCAATAGAGAAATAGAAAACAATGTGGAAAAATACCAAGAATTCAATTTGTTTGCAAAATAATTTTAGACTGTGTTTTTCTTGAGAATCTAATAGGCCTCTCTCTCTCTCTCTCTCTGTTGTTTTTGTTGTTGTTTTGTGTGTGTGTGTGTGTGTATGTGTGTGTAACTGAATTATTTCTTTGTTTTTTATGAAACAACCATTCTATTTGAAGCAGGCCTCTGATCCAGAGGACTGTATCCTGAAACTAG